ATTGGTGTTATGTTACTCCCACATCGGCCTTGAATTGAGTACTGATGTGATGGCCCATGATGATAGCAACGAATTTACAGTTGGCCTGGGGATCGTGTGGAAAGGATGGCAGAATGATCTGGCCTCCTGTCGTCCAGAAGGATGTATAATAAGGGATTTGCTAAATTTCAAGTGTCTGAAATTTAGTTTTCTTTTAGGCAACGATTATTACATATATTTTATACTAAAGTTATAGTTTTAGTTCGTTGCAATTTACAATCTATAATTTTTGGTTTCGATAATAAAAAACTCGTTAGACAAAACCACAAACCTGACAAAATCTAATTTGTATTGGCACAAAGACAATTTAACAATTTACAATTAAATCTATAGTCGGACAAGGACAAAAAAATTGATATGTTGTGACACAAAGACAAAAAAATCATAAAAGTGACGATTTACTTGTACTAATTGGTAGTACAAGAGTATTGCCTGAAATCATCTTAAAATTCAGGCACCTGAAATATAGAAGAAGTGCTATAATAAACATATTTATAGGACCCGTTCAGAAGATTAATGTAATAGTTACACTTTGAAAATAGAGAAAGGAAAAAGAAAGCTAATCAAGCCATTATTATGGGCTCGTTAGGTACTACTCTAGCTCTGAGACCTATACTAAATCAAATTAAAGTAATTTAAATATTTTTATTTAATGTTTTTAATATAAATGCATTTAACATGCTTGCAACTTTAGATCCAATATTTTCTAGAGCTATATATGACCGGCTCTAGAAAATTCATAGATTTTCTAGAGCCGGAGCTCTGTCAAACGGGGCATATGTAGGTTTAGAAACAAGTGCTACGCCTACACACATTTTGGTTTACGACATCGAGATGCCTCGTCAGGATATATTCAAATAAAGCTCATAGGACGTACGGTGATGATGACTTTCTTCGCCCCCAAAGAAATTGAAAGAGGTCCGAGACGGTCTGGCGGTGTATATATGCGCCGTGCGGCCATGCCGATACGGGCAACATGGAAGGAACCCCGCCAAATCGGGGAGCAGTAACCAGGTCCAGGAGCAACAGACCACCAGGCCAGCCGCCTCGGGCCTCCTCCACTCGATGGCTATCAACCCACCCACCGGCCGGGCAGGCTCCATGCACGCTGCCGACACAGAGAGCGGCAATGATCCAAGGAGAGCAAGCTGCGCAAGTACACTGGCCGTGAGCCGAAGAACTGATGGAGCAGGCACGCAAAAGGCATGACTGCAAAAATCGCCGGAAACAGTCGCTAGTATTATGATGGCCACACTACTTACTACAGGAATGGTTTATAGGACGGCTGGTGAGCCTTTGTAGAGACGGTTTGGTCAGCCGCTCTAATCATACCGTCTCTATAAATCATACATTTGTAGGAGCGGTTCTCAGACCGTCCTTACAAATCCATTTGTAGAGACGGCTGGTGTTATTTGTAGGGGCGACCGTAGTATCAGTCGCTCCTATAATACCTGTTTGTAGGGGCGATTCAGGTTCAGTCTAGAACCGCCTCTACGGTACATTTTTCTGTCAAAAAAATTCAAATTTACAATTTAAATTCAACCAGAACATATATATATATATACACTACCTGTAGTTGGCTACAAAATAACTTATTCTGTAGTCACTTTGAGTTACGATAATTACTATGTTAATTTACGAGATTATAGTAACTCCTTGTTAAGTGGTTTACTATAACGTTATGGTAAATATCTCCATGTGTTATAGTAACCCAACTATCGTAAATATGTATTGACATTATCGTAAATTAGTATATAAAATTATCGTAAACAGAGGTGGCTACAGAATAACTTATTTTTTAGCTGGCTACTGAATATATATATATATATATATATATATATATATATATATATATATATAATTCAAATATGACCACAAGCACAAGAGCATTATATAAACTACAATTACAAGTCTAATTTACATAGAACCTGAATGCCCTGTTCGAATTATTTTAGCAAATACAACTTGTTAATATCCAAAAATGAATGTTACAAGTACGTATACAAACATATAAGCTAATGAGGATTATCGATATGTATACGTCTTGAGAATCGATATGAAGTCTTTGTATGTCACCGTGTCCCTATCTATTGAATCAAAGACACATGCCATACTCCTCCCGACATCGACACCTATACAAATCCAGTGGTTGTTGCATGAATTTAATACAGCAAGCATATTTATACTATGTAAACATGTCATGTCAATAGACAACAAGAAATTAACAAATACTTCATCAACTAAACATGTGAAGGTGGGAAGGTACGTAGTCACACAGCTTGGAAGGCTGCAGATGCAGTTTCCTGGTGACACACAACAACCTAATAATTCACATGATTTCGCAATACATGGTCATATGTTTGGGCAAATAAAAAAGCACAGAGAAAGGAAATTGGATAGGCAGAAGATAAGTAAATTGTTTTTTATGCTTGGAAATTCCAATTCCAATTCCAATACTTTATCCTGTATTTATAACAAACAACAATAGCAATAAAATGGACCAACCAAATTTAAGCAAAAACAAAGAAAGATGTAGCAGAAAAGGCACATTATATACTAACCTCAAAATTGTACCGACCAGCAGGCACAATGTAGCCTAAGCCCAAATATATTATTTGATGGACAAGAAGAATATGACCGAAACATATAATGAAAAAAACAAAGAAGATAGATTTGTAACAAACTGAAACAGAGGCACCTATTGCAGCCACCCAACCATGAATATGTGCTGAGTAAATATATCATTGGCAATGAGGTGTGCTCAGTAACATAACAACCAGGGAATTATGTAAACTAAAGACATAATTGACAATGGACATGTGCTCAGTAACAAATGCACAAAAGCGTAGCAACTAATGAAAACAAAACAACACATGCAAAAGAGAACTGCTAGGCCATAATAACATTGTAGATATGAATATAGCTGCATATATATAACTGCATATATGAGTATAGAATTATAGATGGCATATGAGAAGCTAGAGCCAAAGGACCGGAACAATTAGCCTCTCTGAAACACTGTGTAGCGAGGCACTTTAACTCTGAATATTACTGGGAAAAATGCATGGCCATATAAACAGTCATGTGGCCCCCAAATTTGGCTAAACAAATTGGTTTCAAAAGCTAATGGATCGAGCTTTAGAATGGGAGCCATCAATCCGTGGGATTAGTAACCTTTTCTTGCACAAATTTTGCCATAACAATAGAAAAATCCACCACTCTCCAATCCTGTTTTTTTTGGTAACATTCGAAATACAGGAAAAGAAAATGTAGAGGGTAAGTACCTAGAGGGCATCACAGAGGAGACTTGAGTTCAAAAGGGGTGCATTCGTGGGACTGCTTGATTCATAGGTGCAACTCCGCTTGCCAATCGGTGCCCTGCACGAGGGCTGTGAGGAATATCGGCTACAAAGTTCAGATATGGTAAGACGACAGAAAATTTTTGAGGCAAAAAATTATAGAGGTGTTGCACATAGTCATGGTCTGAACATTACCGTCGCCATGTAACTTGAGTGCCCTTGATTTCTGTAGAGATATTGTAGTGAGCAGCCACCCTTGCCAGTGGCGCCCAATTACCTGCACAAAGGGGAAAATGGAAAGATAGATGATCTAGGGGAGGAGCATGAGACGGAAGAGGAGAAGGGGATGAGGCACTACCACATCTAGCAGCCGAGCTGAGCCACCTGCAGCCGGAGTCGGCCGTGCTGTGTGGTCCATGGCTCGTGATGTAGCTGGTTTCGTCGAGCAGAGACAGATAGGGTTTCGTGAAGCACTGGAACACGCGCGAATCGGTGGAATGAGGCAGCGGCGGGTGGCACCCGCGCCTGGCGCAAGGGGGCGTGGAGGAGGAGAAGGACGGCCTCCGCCGCGCCGAGGGCAGGCCACCGCGGAGGCCCATCCGCGCCGCCGCCCTACCACGTCGGGAGAGATGGGGAGAGGGAGGGAGGGGAAGAGAAGAGACTGTCGAGACTCACCCACGAGGGGAACGGAGGGGGGAGGAGGCCGTTGGTGCGGACTCACCGGCGAGGGGAACGGAGGGGGAGGGGCGGCGGGTGCACCGCCCTAGGGGGCGCCGTCACCTCGGGAGACCGAGAGAGATAGGATGGGGCGAGTTCTGTTTTTTTTGTGATGTGGAAGGGAGCGGGTTGATATTTTTGTGGAGGGGGATTTCGGACGACGTGGCCCGATCCTGTCCAAGTAAGCGAATTTGAGGCGGCTGGTAATAGCCGCCTCTACATACCAGCCGCCCTTAGAAATCGACGTATTTATAGGGGCGGCTCGTATTACCAGTCGCCCCCTACTGTGCCATTTGTAGGGGCGGCTACTGTGCTGAGTCCGAGCACGCCAATGTAAAGGTTGCTCGAATGCCAGCCGCCCCTTAAAAAGAGTCCCGTCGCTACAAACAGTTTTTCAGGTAGTGATGGTGATTGGGAAATATGGCTGCTGGCGCCAACGTGGTCTGTGGTCATGTGGAAGGCGAGGCCGCTACGTGCCCGCCTCCTCCTCACAAAGCCCTAGGCCCCTCGCGACCGTGCCGTCCCTCTCGCTGCCCCCGCCTCCCCCGTCCTCACCACGCCAATCTCCTCCGTCCTCATACACATCACAAGAGCGCGCAACACGATGCGTTGCATGGCTCCGCCACACACACGCACCCGTAGCAAGCAACCGTTATACCCACCCACCGCTGCATAAGTATCTCCGCGCGAGCGATCCAGGCTCGGCCGCGTGCGTGCGACGACCGCACCATACTACACATATACGCGCTAGCTCTGGCTAGCTTGCAGAGCTCGGTTTCGGCCGGCCGGCCATCTCCTCGCTACACTCCGAGCGCGCGCGGCCCCCGCGCCCGTGTCGTCCCGCTGTCCGTCACGACCGTTGTGTCGATCGTACGTGCGGCAAACTAGCTAGCTGCAGACTGCATCAGTGCGTGACGACGTGAGGATATATCAACCACGCACGAGATGAACCAGTGCGTGCCGAGCTGGGATCTGGACGACCCGGCGGTGGTCGCTGGCCGAGGCGGCGGCCTAAACCACCATCAGGTCTCGACGACGACCGCCGGCGGCGGGGCGCACCGGGGCCTGCAGGTGTCAGCTGGGGCCGCGGGCGGGGCGTTCGCTCCCGTCGTCGTGCCCATGTCGGACCAGTACTACGAGGTGGCGGAGCTGACGTGGGAGAAGGGCAACATCTCCTCTCACGGGCTGGGGCTGCTTAACCGCCCGGTGCAGCACAAGTACCCGCCCGCCGTGCGGCCGTCGTCGCAGCTGCAGGCCATAGGAGTCAGCGCCGGCGGCGGATCGTGTGGGGACCGCGAGACGCTCGAGGCGGTGGTCGGAGAGGCGGCCGCGCGGTCACACTTCCTCTCGCAGTTGCAGCCGGTGCATCACCCGGCGCCTTGGGTCGGGGTGGTGGGCGGCGGCGTCGACGCCGTGGCGGCGCGGTCCGCGGCGGACGCGCTAGTGCCGTGCACCGCCGTAAGGGTGGACGAGGCGGCGGCAGAGGGAGGAGACCCGGGCGCCTCGAGGAGGAAGCGGGCACGCGTGGTTGGCGAGGACGGCGGTCTGGTGTGCGCCAGCCAGGGGAGCACCGCCGCCGCGCCCGGGCCCGGCCGCCGCGGCGAGAGCGCGCTGCTCACGCTGGACGCCTGCTGCGGCACCGGCGGGGTCGATGACGTGTGCGGCTTCACGACGACCACCACCAACTCCACGTCCTTGGAGCGCGACGACAAGGGCTCCCCGGACACTGAGAACACCAGCATCGGTGGAGGCGCCAGTGATTCTCGCTGTTTCAGCCGCCGGTCACAGGCAAGCTAGCTATAAGTAATTCATCTGCAGCTCATCATCATATTTATACACACCTCTAGTCACTAGCTAGCTAGCTTCATTCAATGCTTCATGCACTTCTTCACATCTGAATTGCTCCATGCTAAATAGCTGCTGATGCTACATGCTACAAGCATGCAGAGTTGCTTGTGTTCTATTTCCATTATAATAAGCTTATTTTGTATGGATTTGCATATTATATTCCATTAATTACAATACGGTTATTTTTCTATGTGTCCGTGCACGCATGTTTTGGCAAAAATAATTAAAGAGAGACGGCTTGTGCGACGAAGGGGAGAACGTGGTGATCAACGGGGACAGGGCGATGAGGTCGTCCATTTCCACCAAGAGGAGCCGGGCTGCTGCGATCCATAACGAATCTGAGCGTGTAAGATCCCTTTTTTTTCTGCAGTCGTACGCCAACTTGGATAAGTTAGTTGTAGGTGAAATAAAATGCATGGTCCAGCATTATGGCACGTACATATATTTCTGTAGTTTCTTGTCGACAGCGCTCAGCTTTCTGATTGCAAAATCATGGGCCATATGTCAAACAGTTCTATATTAATTACTTGTCGCTTTTAGTAACCACTTAATATTGGGTGAGATTTGTTTGCTCCAACAACACACACGGGCTAGCTTGTTCAGTGGACAAACGTTTTTGTTTGGCTTTGTTCCCAAGCTAGCCAAGCCAAATTTTGATTACTTTGACTAATTTTAGTCATCATTTAGCTGGATGCTAAAATTTGGCTTGACGTCCTCCACCTTTTGGCCACTTTAATTTGGCTTGACGTCCTCCACCTAAATTTTAGTCACCAAATTGGAGGTGCAAGCCTTTTGAGGTGATTGGTTTCAGAATTTGGGTGGTCCATCATGAAACGGAATAGTTTGATCCATCACCTTATTCCATATAACAAACTAAAATTTATTATAATAAGCATGAGGGATGGATCATTCCACCAGAATTCATAAGATAAACTCATGATAGAACACCTTATATTGGAGAGGCACCTCTCAAATAAAACATCAGTTTAGAGTTTTTATCAAAGAAGCCCCATTTCTACATATTTCCGGTGAAACAAAATGTCAATTCCTCTTTCTTTGGTTGTCAATCACTTTATGGTTATTGATAGTTTTTAAAATATAGTAAAGATGCACTCCCTTCATTTCAAATTATAAGGTGTTTTGTTTTTTCTAGAGATACATTGCTTTACTATGTACATGTAGACCTAGTGTATATCTAAGCACGTAGTAAAAAGTCAAAACGTCTTATAATTTAGAATAGAGAAAGTAGACGTTATGTATGCGCATGCACAACCACTAGTTCTATGAGTACACACACATCCTACCTTTATGACCACATATGAGAGAGTAGCTATCGACATGTCACATCACTTATATCGCTAAAATATATAATCATTAGCTGAAAATACGGAACCAAACTGAGTTAAGCTTAGATATCATCAAAATGGTCTCTAAAACTCTTCACCCAATAATCTCTGTTATTATCGTATGTTTACTCAACAAAGTAGCCTAAGACTAAGAGAGGGTATTCCGAGAAAATCTTGAAACGTCATTTCCGCATTGTACAACTACATATAGAATCAGGTTCCGATAAATGGTTTTTTTCTTTTTCTGTGAAAAATGATCCTGATAGAAGTTGATTGGACGTTGCCAACATCATCCCTTTTTTCACGGCAGGGAGAAATAACTAGACGTGATCTTTCGAATATGTCTTGGGACAGAACGAACCAACATGTTCGTGTTTCTTTACTGTTGTTACCATTTTGGCTTTATACCGTACCTCACAAATCACGTTTTTGCTATGTAGGATAAGTTCCACATAGCTATCACACTGTTTGAAAATAAGCGGCATGTTCGACTGGTATTAAAGCCGGCTGAAGCTGATTTGTTGTGAGAGAAAAATACTGTAGATTCTAGCTGATAAGTTCAAGCGAACAAACCCAAGTTGTAAAAAAAAACTAATCGTCAAGGTTTCGAAGCATCCAGCGTGACAGTGACGGTTGACTGCGGACTCGAAATAAGATGCCATACGTGTTAGACTGTCTTCAACAACCCTGACCCAAAATACAAGACATATTCGTTCTTTGGATAGCGCTACAGGCAAATGGTTCAATACCTATTTTTTGTCTTTCCAACAACAAGATCCAAAAGATAACAATTTCTACAAATAAGTCTACAGAAGAGAGGATATTTATTTGGGTTATGCCTCTCCTGCATTCAAAATAGGTCTTCCATATATTTACTTTATTGGAGCTATAGGTATTGTTTTAAAAATCTATTTTGAGTTTGGGTTCCGCAATATGTCTCGTGTTGAAGACAGCCTTAGCAGTTTCATTTGACATGCCGCACCTTTTTCCAGTTCCTTCAGAGCCTTTTGTTCTCCTTTAATAAATTCCTTGAGAACCTTGTGCTGTTGGTTCTTGAGAACGAAAGGACGCTCCAACTTTCTTTCAGCTTGGCATATGGCTTATATATGGGCCTATAGGCCGAAACCAATGCAGCGGGATGTCTTTAGTTGGGCCGGCCTTTGCTTTTTTTTTAAAGATAATCGGCCTATTTTGTGTTTTGTTTCAGAAACGAAGGGACAGGATCAACCAGAAGATGAAAACGCTGCAAAAGCTCGTCCCGAACTCGAATAAGGTGAGACGAACGATCGCGACTAATCTGACAACGGAGCCAGTATATGATGATCATGATCTGTATAAGCGGAAAATCCGACACGTTGCTGCCTTTGTTGCCGTGCCCTGAATGAAGCAGACAGACAAGGCGTCGATGCTGGACGAGGCGATCGACTACCTGAAGCAGCTGCAGGCGCAGGTGCAGGTGATGAGCCGGATGAGCAGCATGATGATGCCCATGGGCATGGCCATGCCGCCGCTCCACCAGATGTCCGTGATGGCCCAGATGGCGCAGATGGCCCAGGGCATGATGAACATGGGCTCCCTCGCCCAGTCGGGCTACGCGGGCCTCACGCCGCCCATGATGCACCCGCCCCCATTCGTCCCCATGTCCTGGGACGCTGCCGCTGCAGCCGCCGCCGCCACCTCCGGCGGCGCCGCCGTGCCGGACGCCTTCTCCGCCTTCCTGGCTTGCCAAGCCCAGCAGAACGGCCAGGTACGTACGTGCAAATCATATCTGCCTAACCTACGTGCAAACGATGTCTCTGCTGACCGGCACGAATGTATACATGCAAATGCAGCAGCAACCGGGTAGCATGGAGGCGTACAATAGGATGGTGGCGCTGCACCAGAAGATGAACCAGCTGCAGCAAAGCGAGCCCAGCAGCAACCCGTCCAAGCAGTGAGCATGACGTACGTACGTATGTAGAACTGTTTTCTTGTACATTGTTTGTTTGCTCGAAACCATGTTCTTGCTCCTAACACATGAATTATTTAGCAGCAAAGGATTAAGATCCAACAGTCTCCACTCTTTTCTACCTCCAGCATTCAATCTTCTTCTATCACCAGACAATCACAAATCACAAGATTATGGATCACAAGAAATATTTTTTTTCTATAGAAGGACAAATCACAGATCGCAGAGATATTTATGTGTTCGTTATGACATGTGGGCCACATACGCTATAGATATAAAAAAATTCATATATTTTTTGGTGCTAAAACACATATATATTGTATAGCATTTCTGTTATTTATCGCATTTGTTCAGATTTTTTTCTTCTTCTCGACAACTGATGAAACCGGAATCGTAGAGGTGAAATCCGTCGTCGACGCGGTACCTGTAGCATCATGTATTTGTTTTGTCTTTGACCGGTCTAGCCTTGTATGAGTGACCACACGTTGTGCAAGAGATGAGCGGGTTTTGCACTGGCTGGTAGTCGAACAAGTGATGAAGGCGATGCCTAAACCTGGAAGTGGATTTGGATTATCCACAATCCAAACGGACTTAACCCATCTTGGATTGAAATGGATAGATGATGTCTGGATGTGGATGTCCGTTACCACAGGACCCAAACCCACCGGACTGGACTGGATGCACAGACCTGCATATCCAAAATCCGTTGGGCATCTCCCCTCCCCTCCTGAGTCCTGGCGTCCCGCTGCGGCGGCCTCTCCCTGGCGGCGTCTTCACCGCGTCCTGCTCAGCGGCATCGCTAGGCCCATCCACGCGCTCGGCCAGATCCTCTCCCCCGTCGCGGCGGCCGTCTCCCGCCGCCCTTCGGCTCCCCACCGAAGCTCGTCTCTCCCCAGCCCTCCGCGATGCCGATGCGCCCTGCAGCCTCTCCGTCGTCGATGGACCACCGAGCCCCGCCGCCGCCGTCAGTTGTCGTGCCCCTGAAGAAGCGGCGGACCCCGTGCAGTCCCAAGAAGGCCACCATCGCTCCGTCCCGGCGCTGCCTTCGCCTGCCACGGACGAGGGGAACCTACGCGCCGCCGCTTCCTCCTCTGGCCGTGGACCCACCAGAACCGGCTGGGTGCTCTGCTGCAGCAATGAACTTACACTGGCATTATTTGGATGAATGGATTGGACTGGATTGACTCGGTGTGGACTGGATTGGGTATGCAATCAACGATGCATTCACTTGCCTTATAAACCGTATTTTTCTAACGAATATCATTTTTTCTCTCACAATTAATCAACATTAACGATACTTTTGGCCATAACTCATCAGTCAAGTGATAGGGCTATAGTGATGCCATATTTGGTAGCTTAGCTTGTCAACCATTTATTCTATCAAGATAACGTATTCGGTTGGTTATTTGTTCGTATCGTTCTTTGGTTTATGAAAAATATCTATTCTTGGATTTGTGTGAAAGAAAAATCTTAAAATTTGGTCATTTTGACGAAAAGAAAAGTATTGTCGCTGATTTAAGCATTCCCGATCGTTCCATCTCCAACTCAGTGGATCGAGTTGCTGGGCCGTCAATCAGAGACGCACACTCAGGCTTTGGGCGCTCATCAGTTTATTCGTTTGGCTATGGTTTATCATAAACGATCATTAATTTCAATTAAAACAATATTTTTCTCTCACATAAACCAATCAGTCGTACTTCTTCACGAATCAGTAACAAAAAGAACCAACAAGCATGCGGCATGAGCTCGGCATGGAAACGGAGGATGGCGTCGCGATGGATTCGCCGGACACATGGCCACCAGCAATAGGCTGCATCACCACATGGAAAGAGACGGCAGCAGGCTGCTGTGCTGGCTAGTCGACGCCTGGTACAGAACGCTGCAGCAGCCTTTTGACTCTATCGGGCTTGGCACCGACCGCATCGGCGCCATGCCCATGTAGGCGCACATGCCGCGGGCCGCGGGGAAACAGCTCAATCACCGGCGGATAAAGAAAAGGCCAAGGCGAGGGAGAAAAGGTGCGTCCCAAACAAAAACAAAGAAAGACGGGTGTCCATGTGTCGGAGTAAAAATAGAAGTTGAAAACCTAAACTATCTATCGGTGCAAAAAATAAACCAACGAATAAATATTTATAGTTTTATCATATGATGTGATTTGATGTGGTCAAACATTCAATGACACATGATTTATACTGGTTCAAGTAATGTGCCCTACGTTCAGTTTCGATCGGTTGGTGACTTTATTCCTGAGTCCAGGTGCTCGAAGTTTGTTCTAGGTTACAAACGAGTGGGAATAAGAAGAGGTGTAAAGCTCCGGTCGGACTCTGAACCGAAGGGCTGAGAGTGACGGGAGCTCTAACGTGCGCTAAGTATTAGAGCGTATGCTCTGTATAGCTTTAGAGTTCTAGAGCTGTAGAACTATTCGAATGCTAAAATTGTCTAGAGCCACCTAGAGAGAGTCGGAACGAACGTTTCTATTGGGAGAGAGCACATCCTTTTTATAGGTGAAAGGGATGGTCTTACAAGTTAGAGAGAAAGAGAGGGAGCGTGTACGTGTGCTACCTAGTCTTGTTGCTTATGCCATTGGGTACGAGACGATTGTCTACGCCCACAATATTGTTCATGCCCAGACGCGTCTGGTAGGTTTTACCGTGTTCGCCTGGTATGATAAATGTCCGGCGCCTACAGTGCTGTAAGGAAAATATCGACGCCCACAACATTGTTTGGGTTCTGACACGCCTAGAAGGTTACATAGTACCCGTCTAGCATGGCCTGGTGGCACTGCCTGCTGCAGTGTGTGGGGTATAGCAAGGTACGGTCCTCGGTATTGCGGTTGACTTGAGCGCCCTACCTTATCTCCTCCGCCTAATCCTTGGGTCCTCATCGAACGGGCGTCCCCGGTCGGTCGTTTCCGGTCGGCTCCAATCGTGTCGGTCGGGGAAGAATCACAAGTGGAGGTTTGGCGTATCACCGATTGGAAAAGGATGTCGGAGTCAGACTATATCTCCTCCTTGGCCAAGCCTTCCGGTCGGAGACCGAATCTTTCTCCCGGCCGGTCATTAGGTAACTGGGCTGGCCCGGAAGGCGCGCGTTGTCGCTCACGCCGTTTGCTGGGCCGAGTTTTCGCTGGGAAGCGGATCTATTGGGGACCCTAGGTTTATGAACCCGACACTACCTATCTATACTAAAATAAAAGTTATAATATATATATATATATAAGTATTCGTGTTTGTTTATAATATAGATACTAAATAGAGTTTCTTTTTTGGCCAAGATAAGAGGATTATAATAAAACTTGGCATGTATATCTCCAAATTATACATGAAAAACGTAAAATAAAAAAGATACAATATTCTATGTAAATTCTTCCATCAACTTAGTGACTCCCTTGATGTAGTCGAGCCTGATAAACAGAGCCTTATTGAATGTCGAAGCCAGAGTACAATACTATGTTGAATTCAGTGATCAACCCCAAAGATTCGACATACTAGATATTACCATAAGATCCAAGATACTGTAACTTATTCAAAAAGCATATGAAGCTATGAAAGAACATTGACAATTGAATCATCAGGCACAACATTGAATCGTCAGGTACAACCAAAGTTTAAAATCGTCGGCCAAGGCAATTAGCAGCAAGTTTGTCCAGACGCTACAAACACTATAGCCAGATATAGCGTCCACTAAATCATTTAGCGGTTTTATTAAATATGTCACAAATTAGTGAAAAGAAGCTCTGGTCTTCTGTCTTCTTCAGGGAACGCCGCTGCCGTCGTAGCTCTTTCCAGAGGTCAGGTCGAGAGGATGTGTGAGATTAGGGAATTGGTAGTGTTCGAGTGGCATTTTGGGCCGTCGCTGTTGTTTTGGGCCCTCCGCTGATGAAAATTATAGGAAGCCCACTCTGATTTCAGCCCACGAGTCCGCCAGGAATTGCTTAGCGAAGCTATATCTATCAACCCCATTTAGCGTTTTTAGCGCGCTAATCTCGGCTATTAGAGTTCAAGATCAGTTAGCGCTAAAAGGGAACTCTCCTAGCGTCGGCCTTGCTAATCCTCTAAATCCGGCTATAGTAGACGCTATATCCGGCTATTTAAAACATTGGGTACACCATAGGCTGCAGATTTATCACCTCCGCGTCATGTGGGGGTATGGACGTCTAATTTTCTCTATGCAACACTCATGATGATGTCGATGACCTGGAGTAATTGTTCTCGTGGAGAGTGTCTAGATGCATCCCTCTCCTTACAACTAATGGCTACAAAATGACCTCTTGATCATGAAATTGATGCCTGCAACAACGACCTCGTTGTGGCCATCACCAAAGTCCCTGAAAGTAACAATCTGCCAATCGAAAATCATCTAATTTCACTGATAGGTTTCTTTGACTAAACCTAAGCAAATTAGAACAAAAAATGTTGTAAACAAGATATGGTCCCTCTTCTTACCACCAACGAACTCGTGCTGAGAGAAAGAATGATAATTGTCTCCTCACCCACACACGCGGGCCAATTTAGATACTAAATGATGTATCTGAATTTATTTTTCATTTTTGTATACTATTCTATATACATATTTGAGAAACTTAGATCAAATATCCATCAAAAATATAATACCAGGTGAAGCTATCTAAAATTAATTATCCATCTAACTAATGACTACTTATATAGATTTTAATGTTTCTTATTTGTATCAATTGAAACTATTTCAATAGTAATGATTAATAATATTTGATAATTTTGTGTTTTTACCCCTGTTGTACAATGCAATGGTGATTTTTATCACTACTTTTCTAATTTTGTGATTTTGTCATCTCGGTCTTGTTTTAAAGTTTCCATTTGCCCCTGATTTATAATAGTGCTAGTGAAAGGTTCTAAATGGCTAGAGGGAGTGAATAGCCTATAAAAATTCTCTACAAAATACTAGAGTAATTAGTTAGATAACTAAATGGCAATAATAACTTTTTGCTCCAGCTCTAATAGGGTTGCAAGC